AGCATCTCAAATGACACCAAAACCATCAGCAAAATAATATACACTGCAGTAATTAAGAAACACTGTTGCATTTTCTTTAAGATGTACCAAGAACATCATTGTAGGCTCTATGTTTGATGTCTATTTAAGATGTTTCCCCCCAATAATTAGAAGTCTATAGAGGAGGTTAGAAGTGTATTGCACGTTAAAAAAGCCTTAGCTTACAGGATAAAGTGTGTGGGCGAAGAGAGGAGACTGAAAGAAGAAGAAGAGAATTCAAAACCATGTCTACGTGTACAACCATGCGCAATTCATTCAAAGTTAAAATAGGCTCTGTGAAGGATGAACCAACAGTAATGTCAAGCAGAAGTGCAACTCTGTTTGTAGGTGGGCAAGCTAATGTAGCACCTGTAAACCAGAGACCTGCAACCCATGACCATGCAAATTTCTGTCTTTATTTATAACTGCTGTCCATGACGTTTCTCTGTCACTCCTTCAGACAGTCAAAAACTCTGTAGATTCTCATGCAAGCAACATTCTGCTTGGGTACAGGCTGTAGATTTTCCCCAGGATAACGAAATGCCACATTTATCCCAGCACACATGCTAAATGTGCAAATTGCATCTGTCATAACCTGATGCTGTGCTGGGAGAGAGAGAGAGACAAATTACCAAAGACACGTGATGGTCTTTCTTTCAGGGAAATCAATGCATTCCCAGTCAAATATCACCTACTGAAGGGATGTAATATTAAATCAACCTCAAAAAATTTAAATTACATATTTTTGGGGGGTTTTGTAGTTGTTGTTTTGTTTTGCAGTTAGTAGTACCTGCTGTTGACATTCTATTTTGCTTGTTTTAATCTTTTTTGCTTTATTTTTTAACAGTCTTACACACATGAGCTGTACATGAAGATGATAGGACAAAACTGGCACCTCTGACCAGTTTCTATTCCTGACAAAGAGGGAATGAGGGTTCCTGGCAATGAGAGTATCTCAGCCCTGCTCTCTTGGCCAGTGAACCCCACTGACACTCCCTTGTACTGCCACAACTTTTGAGCCTTCAGTCCCAGGAATATTCTTCAGTTTTCATTTCACTGAATTTTCTGCTCAGAGAGGAGATTTCAGATACAACATTTTACTTGTATCTCAGACAGCAAAGAGATTTGGTGGTGAATTTAGAGAAACTAAATAGCCTTGGATCCAGGCATTATTCCTCTTCATCCTTAGCAAATGCATCAGCTGAGACTCCAGGATGCCAAGGGAGACACCCTGCCAAATAGGAGGCCTGTAGCTTATGAATGAGCTGTGCTTTTGGAGAAACCTCCCTCACTGAGGGTTCTTCATCAAACAATATGATGACACTTATCTTCATGTCTTGAATAGCTTGAAAAACAGCCTTTTGCGTAGCATTATCATCCAGGGGTATCAGTGTTTGACTTACAGACACGATGAAGGCTCCCTTCCACAGGTCAAAGAGGAGAGATCCTGCTCCCACACCTCAGGTTTAAATCTTGAAAGCAAACAATAGATATCTCCAGATTCTTGCAGTGAGAGGTTAAATTAATTTGATGGGATCACCACATACTGATATACACATTTCATTTCTCTGGCTTCAGTGCTGTTTTAATATTGTTCTGCTGCCAATAGAACTGAGTTATGGTCACATTACAGAACAGATGCTAGACAGTCCCTTCAGAGCACAGTGAGCCACAGGTCAAGTGACAGACACATTTGCCTAAGCATCCCAGCCTGATCGGCATTGCCATTGAGCCTATGAGGTGGCTCAAATATGCCTTTCCCACCTACAAGGTACACTGGTGCATTAGTGTGAATAAATGCCAGCCAAAGGCTCTATATTCTTTTCTCAGCTTGAAGGAATATCAACAACATTGTAAGATTCAGTGTTAAGGAAAGCCATATTTATTTATGTCTTGATCAAGTAGCCTTCAAATACACTGAATGAGTTCTCTAAGAAATCACCAAAACTAGAGAAATTTAAACAATCATAGGTCATGCTACAGTACTGGAAAATAAAATATTAGTTTAAGATAGTTCTTCCAGTCCATCTGTAATCAAAAGGAAATGGTATGTTTGCCTTTCAAACAAAGACAAAAAATTGCTTAACAATTATGCTAAGACTTACACAGGGATTGTAGAAGCGTTTGTCCTCAGTATGCCAGAATACATCCTGAAGTATATGAGTTTGGGTTTGTTGTTCCTAAATAGTTAGTCAGAAGCCTGTTTTTCTTTCTTTTTTCTTGTTAGTTAGTTTGCTTGGTTTTTTTAATTTTGTTTGGTTTTTTTTTTCTTTAAATAGAGGAAAGTAAATGTGAGAATTTAAACTTGCATTGATTCCAGCCCCAAATAAAACTGCTGTGGTATTACACAGAACATGGTGAAAATTGCACCACAAATGGCTGTAAAAGATCTTAATTCCAGGAGGAAGAGCAACTTGAGCAGTTTATATGACTGGTTACAGAATTTGATCAGGCAGAAATTATACTCATTTAGACTCCAGAAGCATAGTTTTGCTATAATCAACTTCCTTGAAAGTCTTTTATCACAGGATCTGGGTTTCTTTAATCTTGCTTTATGTCCCTGACTCATATGTCTTTAGCAATTTTACTTAACAGCAACAGAAGTGTTTTTTTCACAAGGAAAATGTCATCATACTCTCAAAACAACCACCAGCTTGACTATCAAAATTCTTCTGGTTACAGCTGGGTACTGTTGTGCTCACCCACACATTTTTGCCATGCTATCAAGCATTAATCATCATTGATTAATGTTGCCATGATCATTTACTTTCCCAAGATTGTAGGTGGCTGCAGGGATTTACAGCTCCCTGCACATTGCAGCAAAGTGGACTTTGGAGCATAATGGTCCCTACCAGCACAGAGAAGAGTATCACAGCTTAATGACAGGAGAGGGATTCAAATTTTTTGAAGGATTTGCCCAAAATTTTCCTTATGTACCTATTTTTCTCTAATTTGTCTATTCCCGAGTTTATTTTGGAATGGAATAAGAGTACAAGGCTTTAATGAAGATACTGAGCTAATGACTACACCATGAACATATTATCTAAAGATATTTTCTTTATGTTTCCTGACTGGAAGAGGAAAGTTAAAGAACAGTACATTTGATTTATTTTCTTTTTAAAAACCCCACACAAATTAGGATTTGTGTAATTCATACATACTTTCATGTATTCCCACAGTTTTGTAGCTTGAATGATCAGGAAGGGGCTTTCACTTGGTCAGCAATGAAGGTGTCAGGTGCCACTCAGATTCTTCAGGCTTCTGGTGGTGAGTACAGCTTCTCACCAAAGTGATGTGAGGCAGGAGGAGAAGACAAGTAGACCTGCACACCCAGGGCCGAGGGGACCATTTGTGTATTTGCAGATTTATTCTGTTCAAGGGCCCAAATGCTGTCCTCTGGAGCCTGTCATTTCAGGAGTGTTCCCAGGATGGAGGCCCATCCTTGTAATTGTGCTGGTGAAAAAACTGCTGCCAAAACAAATGGCAGAGAGAATTCCTTTCTGGGTTTAGAGCTCCTCTGCTGGTAGATAGCACCAAGAGGAGCAGTTTTGCTGGGCAAGCAAGGCACAGCCCTAAAAACAGGCACCAACTGTCCTTGTGCCCATCACCCCAAATCCAGGAGAACTGCAGAGAGGACAAACCCTAATTTTACAACTAAACAGGAAAAATCTTGTGCAGGGACTGGCCTGAAATGCCTGGATGTGATGGTCTTTCCTAGTGAGGCAGAAGAGAAGCCCTGTGTATAGCGAACACGGGCTATCTCACCTGGTGAGATTTTAATGGGCAGAGCCATGTGGCCACTCCACACAGAAACCTTAGCCTCACACCAGCCAGCCCTGAAACTAACAGATTATGCTCTTCCAAACGGAAAAATAAATGCTTGGGCTAATGCCTCTCCATGATGACAGTAGCCAGAGGCAAGAAGGGATGGTGGGACAGCCCAGCCCAGTGGTGATGGATCCTGGGCTCTCCAGAGTTGTGACCAGGGTGTCACCAGCCCTTCTACCCTACTCTGGAGGGACAGCAACTCCAGCTCCTTCCAGCAGGTGTGGGGCCAGGCTCCATCCCTCGTGCTTTTGAGGAGCACCAATGCACTGTCTCGGGGACCCCTGGTGGCCTAGTGGTTAGCATGCAGGACTCTCACCTCTGCGACCCAGGTTCGAATCCCAGCCAGTCCCCCGGGCAGATGGAGCCCGTTAGCCCTGTAAGGCCATCCATCTATGAGAAGGTCACTCTAAACAAACCTACGTCCTGAGGACTTCACTGCCATTGTCCAAGCTTGCTTGGCCCCGGCAGATGAACCTTAGGATTAAAGGGTGGGCTCAGTTCAGCGCAGGCTGTGTCTCACCTAAAAAATCCATTGCGCAGGCTGGAAAGGTAAAAAGACCTTTCCCCAAATCTTCGTTCACGAAGACTGGCCATTATTATATTATTAATGCACTGTCTTCCAGAAGTATGGAGACTTGGCAAGCGGAGAGGGACCTGGCACTGTGGGTGAGTGCCACTGGCACTGGATGAGCTGAAGCAAAATATCCCTTTCTGCTTCTTCCTGACAGTAGGGGCACAACCCACGGGGCTGGGGGACTGTCACCCAGGATTGGCCACTGACCACCCAAGTTCTCCAAATCCTGGCATAGCCTAGGGAAAGGCAGTGAGAGGAGAAGGTGTCATCCAGCTGCAGGCAGTCCATGCTGACTATTCCCACCACTCTGCCCCTCACAGGAAATCTTAGCAAGGCATCAGGAGCAGGGATGAGGCACAGGGCCACAGACACATAACGCAGGTGGCCAAGAAAGAGCAACACAGAAATGAAGAAGTTGAAAAAAGAAGACGGTATTTCCATTTTCTCCTGACACTGTGAGCCTGCAGAGCTGGACATCCCATTTTGACATCACTGAGGAGTGGAGAATGACATCACTGAGCAGCAGATTGTGATATCGTAGAGGGATGAATTGTGACATGTCAGCCCTCATTTCTTATATTTGGATGTCAGGAGAGCACTGGCCAGTCTAGCTTGAGACAAAAATGGCCACAGACAGCACCTGCCCTATTTGCCAGGACACTCGGAATGATGTGGCTTCTGCTCTGCCCTGTCGCCACCAGTTCTGCCTGGGCTGTATCCTGCGGTGGACAAGGAGAAATCCATCGTGCCCACTCTGCAGAAGAATGATAGAGACTGTCAGGTTTTCTGAGCAGAGTGAACAGGACTACATACAGCTGGTCATCACCTCCCCTGAAGAGTCACCAGAAGGCCATAGCCAGGCAGAGAGAGCTCCTGGCCACCTGGAGATCAACAGCCCCCATGCCCCTGTGGTGTCCCCTCCATCTTCTCCACAGGAGACACTGTCCCCAGATGACCAAGGGGCTTCTAGGCTGGAGCTTGTTGGTGACCTCCTGCCCGAAGTCTGGGCAGGACTTTTCTGTCGACAACAACAGCTTCTGGATCCCGTGCGGCCCTGGCTGCGCCAGAGGCTGGAGGGAATATACTGGGGCCGGTGGTGGTTGGTAGAGGCCACAGAGAGCTGCATCCTGCGCTACCTCTGCATCTATGGTCCAGATGCAGAGGTCTTGGTCCAGAGGCTGCTGATGTTCCTGGAGGAACACACAGCACTGCTGGTCCATGGCCTCATCAATGCTATTGCAGAACAGTGCAATGAGGACGCCAGGAGGCTGCTGCATTTGCATGCTGTTGGGGATGAGGATGGCAGCCCAGCAGCCAGCACCAGCTCCAGCTCCAGTTCCAGCTGGTCCATGTCCAGCAGCTCCCACAAGGGCACTCCTGTCAGCTGCCCTGCAGGCTCCGATGTGGAGGAAGAAACTGCTACAGTAGAGACTGTCCCCCACCAGGGTCCCAGCTGCCCCCAACCTGAACCCATCCCTGCAGAGGAGAACCAGTCCCAGGAGGAGCCAGAGCAGGCAGCAGTGGCAGGTCCCTCTGCCCAGAGCAGCAGCCACAGCCACTCCACTCCCGGTCAGGGCAGGGGCTGCTCACCTGGGGCAGCCCGGTGTGCCCAGAAGAGAAAGGCTCCCAGCCCTCTGGACTCTCCCCAGCCCAGCAAGAAGCCATGACATGGGCGGACCTGACCCCTGCAGCCCTGAGGGATGCAGATGAAGTGATAAAATTTCATCTCTCTTCATTGCCAATTTCCCATCCAAGAACCACAACCTGAGGCTAATGGAACCCACGGCAGGTTTCAGGAAGTGGCCTCCCCACGTCTGGCTTCTTGAAGGGGCCAAGTGTGGTCTCTCTTAGGTCCCACAGAGCCACGGGTCTGAATAAATCTATAAATATCTAAGTCCCTCAGTAACTGAGAGAGCGTGACATACTGAAACGCCAGCACATCTGAAAATCTTGTGCCAGATTCTGTCTGGCTTGTGAAAGGAAAGTTTGGATCAAGTATCACAGAAGCTATGGAGAAAGAGAGTTCCAATACAGTTCTTGCAATTTTAATTGATTTGAAATTGATTGTTAAGTCTTTAAGGACCTCAACAAGAACCCAGTAGCTACTAGGCAGGAGTGACTTTGCTCCACAAAGACTCTTCTGTGAATGAGTGGTCAGGGGCAAACAGTCTTAAGGTGGTTAAGTCAGTTGTTCTGCTCCAATTAGCACAAAAGTTGTTCCTTGATGACCTCCAAGGAGGAGGCCAATATCAGACAGACAAGGTAAAACTGAAGATTTAGATAAAAATGGTGACCAGACATTTATTGTTATTTTTGCTGCTAGAACTTACATAAGTTGCAATGGCAATCCAGTCTGTATGCTGGATATATGATTTGTGCTATATCAAGCAAAACTTCAGATGTGCTCCAGAGCACGTGGGCTCTTAGACAGCCACAAATCACCTGTGCTTGTGAAGAAAGATTTGGTGAACCTTGGCATAAGGGAGAAACAACAATACAAGCATCTACGTGATGAGAGTTCTTAAGGTATATTACAAAAAATAATAAAAAATAATAATAATAATCCCATGTCCATTTTGGTCCATCTCTTTTGGATTTTGGCTCAGATTTCTCCTTCCAAGTGTGGGGTATCTAAAAGAACCTGGTCAGAGAGTATTGCACTCTGACACACACCTGCACAGAGTCATATCTGACTCCAAATCCTTCATCAGCTTTGCTGAGCTCTTTTAAAGCCTCTCTCCTAGGAGAACACAGCTACTTGTTGATTCCAAGGCTCATGAATTTTCCTTTTTACCTTCTGGAAAAGGGATGCACCTTGTGTTTGTAAACATCAGAGAGGCACAAGAGAAAAATTTCATGTTTAGATGGAAATTAAGTAAAAGGAAGATCACGGAAAACTTTCAGAAAAAAAAATTGACTGTTTTGCCCCTCTACAAACATTTAATCTTTCTCTGCTGAAATTTCCCCAAAGCACATTTTCTGTCCCTATTGACTGGCTGCTTTCAAGAATTGTCCCAGAAGGATGACACTGTCTGTCTTGTTTTAGCTGCTCAGATCATGTTTTCTATTCTTTCTTGCCTGTGATTTCCTTGCCTTACTGCAACATGCCCAAGAAAACCTATGGGTTTTGGAGGTGATCATTATAATCCAATCTATAAATAATACATCCTTGCAAAGAACACACTGAACCATAATATTTGCACATGATTTGGTCTAAATGACCTTGATCTGGTTTCTGGAGGGTCGTTTTGTAATTTAATGGTTCAGCTGAATTCTTTGTCCTGAAAGATTAAGTTTCTCATCAGGAGCCATTCCAGACCTTTTCAAGATGAAACCAGCCATGAGAGTACTGCATATATATGTGGATTTTCTGAAGTGATTACTTTCCTTGTCTAGTCCTTCTGAAAAATTATCCTGCTGAAAAACAATTGCTGTAATTGAACTGAAAGCCTGCTAGGTAAATTTATTCCAAAGTGTAAGTTTAATAGTTATATATAAAGCAAAATATGAGTTTTGCCAGAAAGTCTTCTAATGCTATTCTGCCTATTTTCTTTTGGTGGGAATAATTCCTGTGGTCTTTTTGTTGATCCCACAATTACAAAGAATGCTATGAAGCAAATTAGAACTGAATATTTTTAGCTCCCATAGAAACATTAAACAAAATAGCAGAAACAATTACATTTGAGCTGTATTTCCAAAGCAGGTGTTGTACTTTAGTACTCAAGGTCAGAGAAGGGAGAAGGAGAGGATGTGTGTGTTGAACAAAAAGCCATAATGGAATTGTGCAAATTCATTCTGTTCTCTCCTAAGTGGATATTCACATATTCAAAACATCATTGAAAACTGAGGCCAAAATTTCCAGTGATTTCATTTCAGTGTGTTAAACCACTATAAAGAGCATTATTGGTCTGACTTAACAAGTGTCTGAATGAATGATAGCAGAAAATCTGCACATTCAAAATGACACTTTCTTGCATAAGTCAGATTTTCCAGAGGATTCAGAAAACTGGTTTGAGTTTGGTTTGGGTTTTTTTTCCCATCTCTAAAAGAAGCCAAAAGAGCTCATATCTTCACTTAGTCAGTTCAAGGTAAACAAGTTCCGAGGTGTCACTTGGTTGCCACTGAGATCACAGATATAGGATACTGAGCACTTCCAAAAAGATGTCCTTCATTTTCAGACTTATGACAAAAAAATGTAATCAAACTAAAAATTAAATCAATTGAATTCAGACACTGTTTTGCTCTCCACTAATACGGTAGATGTGTTGGGATGGGGGAGATCCTTCAGGCCTCGTTTCAGTCCATTACCTGGAAGGAGTATGCCCTTCCACCCTGCCCCCCACCACGTGGCCCTGAGACCCCCCAATGGAGAACTCACCGGACCACCAGGGGAGAGAGGACGAAAGAGAAAGTTTATTGTGGGAGGGGGCTTATATAGCCCTTGGGGACCAATCACAGGTGAGGGGGTGTTACAACCAGGTAAGGAGTTCACAGCCAAATAAGGAAAGGGTTAACAAAGGACCAATGGGAGCACCTTGGGACATCTTCCCAGGACACTCCTACCTGAGATAGGGGGTTACAGGGGAGGCATAGGGAAAAGCAGTGACTCTGCAAAGAGCCATCTTAACACATGTTCAAACAACATTAAAAACTTCTGATTCATCAGTCCATTTTTGGCAGGACTTTTTCCATACATCCATTGCCACACACTAAACCACAAAACTGCACTCTACCCTTCTCATTAATACAAATACATAAACACTGACAGCACTGGTTTGGGGAAAAATGAAAACTGTCACTACAGTCACCTCATCAAGAGAAGAGCAGCTAGTGTTGGCAGCAGTGCTGCATGTAAGTCTCTAGCCATCATATTGATTTACTGTATTCAGATTAAGTGGAAAATGCAAAATAAACTCAATATTTACCTCCAAATGAGCTACTGCGAATATAAATTTGCTTACCTGTTTGTCATCCAGGCATTTTACCAAAAGGGAATGTAACATGAATACCACAGAGAAGACTCCTTTTCACCCTAATAGTGCTGTTACTTTATGGGTCATTTAAAGTAAGTTATAAATATCTAAAATATCTGTGGCTCTGCATTCAAAGAGGATTTATATCTACATTTCCTAGATAAATCCAACTGCCATTTTACAATAGCAATTCTGTCCTCAAGAATCAAGATCATGTAAAACAATGAGGTGGAAATGCAACTGAAAGGTAAAGCTCTAAAAGATTCTGTACATTTAGGCGTAAGAAAAATTTGCACATTCCACAAGACACCTTCATGATGGAAAACAGTCATTTAAGGCTGCATTAATTGTGTAATAGATTTTGTTTGGTGACACTGTAGCACTTATTTGAATCCCTGATTTATCACAAACTCTGCTTTTAAAAAAGAAGTCATCTAGGCAGTCACACCACAAGTTCCAAGCTCCATGCTCACAAAGCTAACCTCTGTCCCGTGGAAGTCTCCAAAAACAGATGGACCACTCAACTGTAGCTGGAGCCTGCACCAGGGAACAATTGCCCTTACGAAAACCACACACTGCCAAAGCTCCTCCAGCTGTCACCCAGCCATAAAATGCCCCCTTAGGTCCCCGCACACCTTGTCCATGTGACACAGGGAGCATGGCTGAGCCATTTCATCTTTCCCAGCTCATCTTTCCCAGCAGCATCAGCACAGGTAAACTTTTCTCCTCTCCTGCCCCCCTCAACAGTAAATTTAGCCTTAGGGCAGTAAGGGTTTGATGAAGATTTAGTTTCTTCCATCAGGTATCAAGAAGGATCGTTTTCTGGCTCTGCACTGAGAACAGACTAATACCCACTATAGCAGAAGGAATTCTACCTGAAAGCCAATGTGGTTTCAGAGCCAACAGGAGTACCACAGACATGGTATTTGTTCTCAGACAACTACAAGAGAAGTGTAGGGAACAGAACAAAGATCTCTATGTAACCTTTTTTGACCTCACCAAGGCTTTCGATACTGTGAGCAGAAAAGGTCTATGGGAGATTCTAGAACGTTTAGGTTGTCCCCCCAAGTTCCTTAAAATGACCATCTCACTTCATGAGGATCAGCATGGCCAAGTCAGATATGGCGATGCACTTTCTGAGCCCTTTCTAATTACCAATGGTGTGAGACAAGGCTGCGTTTTTGCACCAACCCTATTCACAGTCTTTTTCAGCATGATGCTCCAAAGGGCCATGGCAGACCTTGATGATCAGGACGGTATCTACATTCGATACCGTACTGATGGAAGCCTATTCAACCTAAGGCGACTGAAGGTCCATATTAAGACCTTAAACCATCTTGTCCAGGAGCTGCTTTATGCTGATGACGCCGCCCTTGTGGCCCACACAGAAGCAGCTCTGCAGCATTTAAAATCCTGCTTCACAGACGCTGCTGAGCTCTTTGGGCTGGAAGTCAGCTTAAAGAAGACAGAAGTTTTTTATCAACCGGCACCTCAGGAAGTCTTCCATCATCCCCATATCACCATTGGTGAATCAGAGCTCGAATCAGTCCAGCAGTTTAATTACCTAGGTAGACTCATCTCCTCGGACGGTAAGATTGACAGAGAGATAGACAACAGGTTAGCAAAGGCATATAGAGCTTTCGGAAAGCTTCATAAAAGAGTCTGGCGAAATAAACACTTGAAGAAAAGTACAAAGATCAGTGTTTACAGAGCCATAGTGCTGCCTACTCTCTTATATGGATCTGAATCATGGGTCATCTACCGCCACCACCTGCGACTCCTAGAACGCTTCCATCAACGCTGTCTCCGCACAATCCTAAACATCCACTGGTCAGACTATGTGACTAATACCTCTGTTCTAGAACAAGCAGCAGTCACAAGTATTGAGGCCCTGTTGCTGAGAACACAGCTGCGTTGGGCAGGACACATCTCAAGGATGAAGGACCACCGCCTCCCTAAGATCTTGCTTTATGGTGAACTTCCCACTGGCTGCTGCAAGAGAGGAGCCCTGAAGAGAAGATACAAGGACTCCCTGAAACAACATCTCAGTCTTGGCCATATTGATCAACATAACTGGCCTCCAATCGGGAGGTCTGGAGACACACTATCTTTAACGCTGCTGATGCTTCTGAGAAAGCACGCAGGATCACTCTTGAGGGGAAAAGACAACGCAGAAAGAATCGAGCCTTGCAGAATATACCATCTAAGGAGTCCTTCTGCTGGGCCTTTTGCAACCAGATATATCTATCTCATATTGGCCTTTTTAGCCACCAACACACTTGTAACAAACATGGGTAGAGCCCTTCCCAAATCTTCGTTCTGGAAGCCTAGCCATGATGATGATGACTTAGCACAAACAAAACTATGTGTGTACATACATATCTCTATTGATTTCTCCCTGTAGGTACAGAGTCTAGAAGGGTCCAGCTGTGGAGGCATTTCAAAAGCAGGTACTGTCCTGTGGCCTTCTCTGAGCACTGTGTGGGACAAACGGACAGCCAGCCTGCCCCAG